TCGTTTTTGCCATCTGCGGCCTCCCAATGTAGCAATGAATCATGACATTATGAGGGATGTTGCAAATTTCTTTACATCTTTTCTCCTCATAGGTGGAAGCCTCTCATCTTCTCCTGCAATACAAATGTCTGATTAAAAAATAATATTTAGGATTTTCACAGAATGTGGGACTTAAGATGAGGTGGAGGCAGGAGAGAAGCAGCAGAAACAAACAAGAATAAGGAAAAGCATGTTACTAAAATAAAAGTAAAGAAGCAAACAAAGGAATGAAAATTGCATAGACGTTAGAAAAATACTTGCGAAAATCCAAAATGGTGGCCCAGGACACAATCAAAACCCTGGAACATTTTGTGGTATTCAGAGTGTGACACATATAAAAAAGTGTGCAGGAGTTGATTGTGAGATCTCGACTACCATCTTGAATGTCATGATTTTGCACACTTCACAAATGATGTGGAAGAAATGCTTTGGACCTCACATGGATTTAATGCCCTCTGATGTTATTTTCTCCATCTTTTCTTCAGATTTTCTGTGAGTGAGGGAAAATGCCACTATTTCAAAATGTTAATCCAAGTCTTCAAGTGGCACCATCTTTTTTTTTTTGAAGCAATTTGTTTTGATTACCATTTGTGGAAACCATTTTGAAAGAAATAGAGACATCTCATTTTTCTGCCTTGGTTGCTATGCGGTTACTCCTCAGGAGTGGAATTTTCTCTTAAATTTTGACAACCAATCAATTATTCCTATTTAATCCCAAAGAGATTCTTGGAATTAAACTGAGTCTTTCTTGGCATCACAAAAAGTGAGCTTAAAACAATAGAGGTGGAAATGGTTCAACAAGATGGATAACAGTTGCTTACAGTCTTTTTCCACTGCACCTTTCAATATGCATTTTCTAATAACAATCATTTTTATGCCATCTTGTTTATATTTGCAAGCAATTTTCTTAATATAATGCATGACGGGTTTACTATTGTATGTTTTTCTGATCAGTTCCTCTAATACCACCGTGATATACATTTTCAACTAGAAATTTGCATCACAGACGTATGAAATTTGGAGGATAACCAAGTGTTTGTTCTTATCTTGTTTTAAAAAAACCTCAATATTAGATAATTGCACATTTTCTTTTCATACAGTAAATATTCTTCCAATGAAAGGAAACAATTTTGCTTTGGAAAATAGTGTCATTTCTCAATGTCGGATAATGTTGGTTCTCTGCTTTGTGTTTCACAGAAAAGCTCTCCAATATTTTGGGTCATTTTTAATCATGGCTTATAGAAATATAAATTATAGATTTATTTTTCACTTCCATGAGATGGAATCCAAAACCTCATCTATATGTCTGGATTTCATGCTAACAAAGTGTTCTAAAAATACTTTTTCAAAAGACAACAATTGGACTTTGTTTCTTTCCCTGAAGACATTTTGCTTCTCATCCAAGAAGCTTCTTCAATGAGAAGTGGAGAAGCTTCTTGGATGAGAAGTAAAATGTCTTCAAGGAAAAAAGCAAAGAAAGTCCAGTTGCCTCTTGAAAAAGCATCTTTGGGACAATCATGACATGGGTAATTGAGAATCTCCATAGACATGCTAAAAGAATCAAGTTGCGTTGGATTTTAACAATTGCCATGTCATTTAAATGTGGTTATATGGGTTGGCCTTTCCATGTAGTTGGAATGAGTAAATAAATCAATAGCACCTAAATAATTTGCATTATATTTACTTCAGAAATTCACTGAAGGATCTTGGCACCAGGTCTTATGCTAATAAAGTAGGTATTAAGCAGCAGGCTTTCGGAAAATATAGGTTGCTTGGATTTCTTTTTCTTTTTCCCATTAGGAAATATTTGGCACAGCTTTCCTGCTTTCCATTGCACATTTTGGATCTCATTCTATACCATACGGCATATTAAACACAATAAAGATGCTCACTTAGCAGAAATGACTTTCCGAAGAACCCTATAGATATCAATAAATGAATATTTTGCTTGCACAGAAATAGTACTGTTGTGGTTCGCCAGCAGCCGGTGCAAGGATGGGGCCAGGACTATCTGAGAGTGGGGTGCTGCCTTTGGGGCTTTCGGAGTCTGGCAGTTGCAAGGCAGAGGAACAAGGGGAGTCTGTTCCCAGTGCGTGTGTGCGCAGAGCTGCTAAAGGAGAAGGCAGCTGAAGCAGAAAAGGCAACTCGGGAGTAAGGCTGGGAGGTGATTGCCCCTCCCATAAGGGATAAAAGTCAGTATTCAATGACAAAGAGCTTTGCAGGAAGCAAAGCAGTTCAGTAATTCTCCAAATCCCTTGTGAAGCTCTATACTCTGGTCAGTTTTTTCTAGGTTTTTGAGTTGGTTGATGTTAGCTTTAATCGCACTTCTGTTTCTTGGCAGCATTCCACAGCACTGAGAAGCTTGCTCTTATCTGGAGGAACTGTGTATAATGAGTTTTGGTGGGAATGCAAGTAATTCCCAGCGCCGCATCAAAAAAGGTTTTACTTTTAAGTTTGTGTTTGTGTTTTATTAAGTTTGACGAAACCTGGGTCAGAACAAATACCTTTTGGATCAAATTTAGTTCTATTTTTAGAATCTGGCTACAGCTGGGGGATAACTGTGCGTGCGAACTGAATTTTCAGCAAGGAGAATCAATATTGCAGTAAAGAGCCCCATTATCCATACTGTATTTAATGTTTGATTAGGATTTGTGGCTCATTATGTACTCCATAATAATGAATGGATCTCTTAAGTACCTTTGAAGAACCTGAATATTAAAGGTTCTGTCCTTGTCAGCACCCAAAAGTTCAGATGTAAATTTATGGCCAGTTTCAATTAAATTAATTTTATTGTATTTTAGTAAGGTCACAGGCCAAAAGTTTGATCACCTTCTCTTGAATCTTCAGATTTGATTACATTCTTTCTCTTCTTCCTCAGTTTTCATTGGTATTGCCTTAAGAGTAGCAACCTTTCTCTAACAGTATGAGATTTACCGATAGAAGACAATGTTTGTAGCTCAGAGTTGAATTTATGGGGTCCTTGCTGTTCTCTGAGCTTGGTTGTTTTCTTGCAGACATTTCATTACCAAACTAGGTAACATCATCAGTGCTAGAAGGGAATGGGCGCTTAAGAAATATGATGTATAAATAAATAAAAATGCAATTTGCACACCCCACTCTCTCCTAGTACTGATGATGTTACCTAGCTTGATAATGAAACATCTGCAGGAAAACAACCAAGCTCAGAGTGCACCAAGGATGAGATTTTTGTGTCAACATCACAAGTTAAGTGCCATCTTGCTTGCTTAAGACTCTGAGAACCATACTCCCCTGCCCACCTGAATCCATACAATCTTCCCAGGGGGCTTGAAAGATGCAAATTTCCTGGGACATCTTGGGCTGTCTCAGAAGGTTGAAGTCCTAGAGGACAAGAACATGAGAAATAGGTTGGAGTTTCTTAATGGATTGGTGTTGCTCTGCATTCATTCGAAAGATGGATCAATTCAGCCTAAAATTCCCGAATAGCCTTGTCTATGGAGATTCTCAGTCCTCCAGGTCATGGTTGTCTCAAAGGTGCTTTTTCAAGAAGCAACTGGACTTTCTGGTTATTGGTTTTACACAGGAATCTTTCCATCTTGCCCAAAGGTGCCAAGGTCTCAGCAAATCCTCTATTAGAGAATCCTTGATTTCTATATGGGTGTTATGCACATAAGTTGTGTTTTCATAAATTCTGCCTCCATGAGTGCTGGAAATTCAACCGCCCATCGGAGATGGTTCTCGAAGCTGTAGATGTGATCAGCTTTCCATAAAGAAAAGCCCTTGTTGAACATAATTACAGTAGTCTGCACAATAACAATTATTACACTGCTGAAGTGTGGAAATTCATATATTTAGTGAGGTGCTTTGATTGTGAAACCAATCATCCTACAGTAATTTCCATCAAACCAACAGAATTGGTTCTTTAATATGAAGCAAAATTGTTATCCCAAACTGCTTTTGTTAGCCTTAAGGATTTTAGATGGCCAGGCCAGTCTCCAAACCAATTATTCCATAATTATTTACTGAAAACATTTTGTTCAAGCCTGCTGTTTCTCGCCTTATAAACCTGGAGTAACTACTCTCACAGTAGTTGCTATAATTCAAGTATGTTTAATCAAGTTTCTGTTAATGTTTTGGTGAATAAATTTAAATCTGTATGCATGCTGGAGGATGCCTTTTATTTTGTCTTTATCAGGTGCACAATAGCTCTTAGGCACTTAAGGTGGGATGAATTCATATATTGTATAAGGCCATAAAGCACTGTCTTTTGTTCTGGAGTGGAGGTAATAATGTGTGAACCTAACCATCAGGCCTTTCTTTCTGAATAACCAATTGACATTGGAACATGTTTTGTGACATTGTTGTTAAACGATAAAAGGTTATATAGTTTGAAAACAAGATTGTGATGGATATGCAGAACTGAGTTGGATAGACAGAGAATAATATTGAATATTGGATTATTTATTAGTGTGAGACCAACCATTATGGTTTGCAAACCGTGATTTACAATTTAGCATGTTATATAGTAGGAGTTGGTTGGAGAGCTGCTGACACATTGAGAAGATAAGGTCGGGATTCTGAAAATTTTTGATAGGCTTGAATGCTTGGACTTTTTCAACAAAATGTTGTTCAATCTTCCTTCTTTCCTCCCTCCCTCCCACCTTTTCCCCCTTCCATTCTTCCCTCCTCCCTTCTTTTCCCTTCAGTTTCTCCTTCCTTCCTTCCTTTCTTCCTTCCTTCCTTCCTTCCTTCCTTCCTTCCTTCCTTCCTTCCTTCCTTCCCTCCCTCCCTCCCTCCCTCCCTCCCTCCCTCCCTTGTTCATCATTAGAGAACTGTTTACAATTATTAAAATTGAAACCGTTGGACCAATAATGTTCCAAATAAGATCTCTAATAAAAGTCAACTAGCTATCAATGGCATGATATTTCATGGACACTTTTGACATTGTTTCTTTCTCTCTCTTTCTCTCTTCCTCCCCTTAGTGGTATTTGATGACTGTCAAGAAAATCACAAATTGAACTTTGAAGTTTCCAGCCCAGACTTCAAAGTGGAACCCAATGGAGCTTTAGTTGCACTGAGAAATCTATCAGATGCTGAGAGTACTTTAGTCATCCATGCACAGTCAGCCTGGGCAGAAGATACAGTGGAGGTATTGATTGTTGGCAGAAAAGAAAAATCTGGTTCTTTAAAGGTAAGACGGAAACAAACATAAATCAAATGTTGTGGATGATGTGCATAAATTAGTTAAGCACACGGCGATACGATAATAGAATTTTTCATTTCGGCAATCGAACAAAACTATGGCGTTAACAAAACGACCAAACTATTTGCAGGAGATAAGTTACTGAATCACAGAGGAAATTATTCATATATTATGCAGGCGAGGCTATAAACTTATACACCCTTGTGGATACCGAATTAATTGGTTTTACTTCCAATTAAATGTATGGAGTTTTGGAGTGCATAATAAACGGGGCAAATTAATTGGACTTCATTTTACCTTTTAACCTTAAAGCCCTATCTGATTTAAATAAAGGCCTCTAAAGTTGTAGTGGGGATCCAAATCTATAGAGGCTTAATTTTTTAAAAAATAAAAAAGCTTCAGAAGAAATTAGATTTGAATATTCACTGGAACATATGCTTTGATGGAGAAGGACGTCCCTCTTTTCATTCCACTTATCTTATATCACTCTATGTAGCGTTGGGTACGTGTGTAGCAATTAATGGGTGGGGAAATTGGGCAGGAAAGTTCTAGGAAGGCCTCCAGCTTCAAATTTGGCCTAGAAAAAGTGAAAGAAAGTGAGGTGGATTGTTCCACTATACCGAATGATGCAGCAGGATTTGAGAAAACCCTTTTGAGCCACAGTGGTGCAGTGGTTAGAGTGAGTACTGCAGGTTACTTCTACTGTCTGCCGGCTGCCTGCAATTTGGCAGTTTGAATCTCACCTCAAGGTTGACTTAGCCTTCCGTCCTTCCGAGGTCGGTAAAATAAGGACCCAGATTGTTGGGGGCAATATGCTGACTCTGTAAACTGCTTAGAGAGGCCTGTAAAGCAGTGGGAAGTAGTATATAAGTCTAAGTGCTAGTGCTAGTGCTATTTTTCCAATAATTTAACTTTATTAACTGGTGTGATATACATACACTGTAGGAGAAAAGCAGGCAGCACTGGAGGGTGGAGTTAAAGACGTCATTAGCTTAGATTTGTTATGTTGCCACCAGCGGTCCAAATCCAACTCCTCGTGAATTCTGTTGACCCTTATCTGGTGCCAATTTAGTACTGAGCTTTAGTTTAGAGGAATGACAGGTGTAAAGGATCAAGACCATACGTTAAGATTTAATGCTCAAGTTTTTATATGCAAGAATATGTTTGGTGCATCTAGAAACTGGGAGACAGTGAGTTCTAGTTCCACCTCAGGGCACAAAGCCACCTGGGTGATATTGGGGTAGTCCCTCTCTCTCAGTCTTAGGAAAGAAGATCACTTCCTAAAATCTCACCAGGAAAACTTCAGAGCCATCACCAAGACCCAGTAAGTCACTGAAACAAACCAAGAAGGCACTGATTCTTCCAAATATTTATCATGATGATTATTGCCAAATCAATTGCGACAATAATTCAAAGCAATGATTTGGGTTAAAGTGAGAACTATCACTTAACCCCTAATAATCATATTAATTATTCTGAACGTTAAACTCGACTGAAATGAAATAATCTAATGGTTCTCCCGGCCCCATCTAGATATTCTTGGAGTTTGGATATTGTTGTTTTATTTATTTATTTATTTATTTATTTGATTTGCCAATTGTTTACAAGATAATAAGTATAAGTGTATACATAGTTGTGAATACATGAAATGGGTACATATAAGAAAAATAAAAGAAGAATAAGAGAAACAATAGGACAGGGACGGTAGGCACGTTGGTGCGCTTATGCACGCCCCCTACAGACCTCTTAGGAAAGGGGTGGGGTCCATAGTAGACAGTCTAAGGTTAAAGTTTTTGGGGTTTGGGGAAGAAACAATTTGGGAGTTTGGGGAAGAGTTTTGGGGTTTGGGGAAGAAACAATTTGGTTTGGGAGTGCAATTCCTTATATTCCATCCATAACATGGAATCTGATTAGTTTTATTGGAAAAGGGCTAAGAAATCAAACACACCTTTTATATTTAAAAAAATAAAACCAGCTTGCATCCTCATCCAGGCAATGAGTCAAGCTTCAAATAAAACAGCTAAGCACCGTCTGCCATCCAAACATGTGATCTTCCTGACACGCAAGCTCTAACCAGAGCTGATAAGCACAGTCTGGGAAAATAGAGGGGAATGAAAGAGATAAGGTTTTTAGAGTTTCTCAAGCCAGACGTTTTGAGAGAAGAAGTTCAAAGTGAGCCGATGAGTTGGCAGGGAGAGAGAGAGAGCTCTTGTTGGAGTTTTGAAGACGGAGAAGGCGATGGTTGGCAAACTCAGCTGGATTTAAGCAGTTTTGGCTGCCGAAGAGCTCCACGTTCCAGTTTGTAGGAGGGTGTGAAAAGACCATCAAAGAGATCCACAGTGAACGGGGGGGGGGGGGGAATCATCATACCTGCTTGAGATGTCATTTCTACCATGCATGGATGGATGACCCAAAGGAAAAGAGAATCAGAAGAAAAAGAAACAGCATCACATCTATCCAAGAAATAGCCAATTAAAAATGTTGCTTTTGGTGAACTCTAAGGGAGAGGAGAATTTAGGAATAGCTACACACATTGGAGGAGGTTTAAGTTGGTTGCATTGATAATGAGAGGAGGGAGGGAGGGAAAGAGAGGAGAGGGGAGGAGAGGAAAGGAAAGGAAATCTATACATTTTTATAGGAATTCAGTCTCATAAATATACAAGGTAAAAGATTCAAGGCCTTTTTTTCAAATTAATTAAAATATCCCCTGCCAATGATGCAACCAGATAGCAAAGGAATAACTGAGATACCCTTCATTTCTCTACTGTGGCATTTAGCAAACAGGAAGATAGGAGAGTGACTTAGAAGACAATTAAGCCAGGTATCTTCACCTATAATTTAGGATGACAAGGAAGCCATAATGAGGAGATTAGAAAGTGATGAGTGATCCATTCTCTGACTCTTCCACTTACTTCCCTGGCAGGAGGCAGTTTCATTGTTTTTGCAGCAGGAAAGAGATTTCTCCAAGAATCTTCCATATAAAGGCCACATTAGCTGTAAAAGGAAGACCGAACAAGCTTTAAAACATTTCCACTGTGCCCCTGGATGTCTTTTGATGTGACTCTGAGCTCTGGGTGGAATCCTGTGCAGAGTATGGGGGCACAGAGCTTGTTTCATCCCTCACGTTGCGTGGATTTCATTTGAACTCCAGCATCAAGGCCATCACAACCTTCTGCCAAATTTGAACGTTTTAAAAAGGCCCAGTTTAACATTCACATTACAAATCTTTTTTCTTTTTCTTTTTGATCTTCCATGAACAGATGTAAGGCTGTTGTATCCCTGGGGTTGGGCTTTTTCTGTGGTATCCCAATACCTCAAAGATTAAGAGAGGGATGAATTATAGTTCCTTTCTCCCTGACAATGATCATTCTTTCTCCTCCTCCTCCTCTTCCTCTTCCTTCCTCTTCCTCCTCCTCCTCCTCTCCTCCTCCTCCTCCTCCTCCTCCTCCTGCTTCTGCTTCTTTTCCTCTTCCTCCAGCTTTCCAAGGACCACCATATTTACCACTGGAATCTATGAGCCTTTTTTTGTCTCAAAAGTAGTGGCACATATCTTTTTCCTTTCAGCTTAGGATCCAAAAAAAGAAAGTGTTGAGTCCCACAAACTGCAGCATGTGATAGTTCTAATTTGTGTCGCTACCTCTGTGATCTCACAAACCTACGTACAACAGCAGAACCCAAGGGAGAGCCTTCAGATTGTCACTATCCTGGATAATATTGTATCATTTTCTATTAGCCGTTCTTGTTCTTTTTCTTCACTCATTATAAGCACCATCAAAGCATTTTCTGGGAAGTATATGTTTTTTTTCCACCCGCCTGTCATGCAAAGATCAGAGAAGAACTATCAATTCTAAAGTGAGAGGGAGAAAAAAAAATAAAACACTGAACCATGTAAGTGAGGAGCATGAATAATTCTCTTTGAAACAATAAAGAATTAGATGCATTTAATTTTCTCTTGGGTTATCCAAATTTGGATGCCCTGCAAGGATTCCACCTTCCATGCAAGTGTAGGAAATTAAGGTTTGCCTGGAATATAGGCTTTTGAGTGACATGGTCTTCAAGGAAACAGAATGTCAGGACAGTGATTTAAGAGCTGACCAGCTGATGCAATGATGGGAATGAGCCGGCAAGGTTTTTGGCTGTTATCCCTTTAAGAGCCTGTATAATAAGAAGAGGCCCTGTTAGGACAACTTTCTCTCACTGCGTGTTCTTCCCTGCTGTAATTGCTGCTTGTTTGACTTCTGCCTATAGTATATGTATGTATAATATATATTCTTCTGTAGATAAAACCACTATTTCCACTATTTATTACAAACCTCTGTTTGCTGTTGTTGCTCCTGGATTGTCTCATGTAGTAAAGCTGTGTACACTCTGACACACAAAGTCCACTTGCCTTTTGAAAAAGCACTTTTGGGAAGTACTTTACTCAATTAGCTCAATTTTTGAAGTTTGTGCGATGCACCCAGTCTGAAAGCACAATCTGAATGGCGTAGCTAAGGTGTACTTGGTGGTTTGTAGCTTGATCAGTCATACTCAGTCACTGAGTCAGAAAAACTAAGCGCTCCCAAAAAGCAACCTTGGCAGTTGAAATATTTTGTGGGAATCTAACTGGAATGATATTTCCCCTTTATTTCATTTCAAAGCAATGGGTATCAATCTGTCTCTTTCTCTTTTTAATAAGGTTCTAATGTATTGGGTTAATCCAGTCCAATTTATTATTGGTAATTATTATTTGCTCAGCCCATGGTACATTAAACTGTGTTTGGGGAGCCATTTATTAATTGGAAAAATACTTTGGAATGATCATGGCATGTAATAAGTATCTTGATTAAGACTTTTTTGAAAGCCCGCAATGGCAGAAGGAGGCTATTAATCTTGACCCTTCCATAAGAGGCAGTTACTTAACACTGTTGAAAACCTGTCCATCATTCAGAGTTTGCAGGAAACTGCAAGAGACAAATCAATCAAGAAATGACATGCTTATCAACAAA